ACTTGGCTTCTGTAGAATTCCACTGCCAGGCAGTATCACCTCTGTCTGGAAATAAAATGGGAAAAAGAACAAAACAGAGAAAATTTTCCAGCTGTGAGTGCAGGTCACTATGTTGAGGCTACTTCTAGGTCTTGCTATGTCATAGTGAAATGCAACTTCACAGCTTGATACACTTTTTTTCTTTCTTTGCAAATATACTTCTAGAATGCTTTAAATCTACCCTATTCTAGAGAGGTTGTCTCTGGAGTTGGTACTGGGAAGGCACTGGAAAGAGCATAATATACAACACCAACATCATGGAAGTTATAGCTCCTGGTGAAAATAAAATAGTAAATTGATGGATATCAATCAAATACATTAATGTTGAAGAGGAAAATAAATTCATATTTTAGGAAACCTCTAGAAGGAAAACCATTGCAAATCCTTAAACTAGATTAGGAAAAATTCAGGTTCTAACATGTCTTTTTTTTTTCCTGCAGATAGATTTTGAGAACAATTTTTTATTCACAGTATTCATCTGAAAGGAAATGAAAAAATCTGGTGATTTTGGAGGAGGAGAGAGGTGAAATGAAATGTTACAAGGGTCACCAACTGTACAGCATAGGATTTAACATTAGGCTCCCTGTATGACCTTGACAGCAGTTCAAATGTTACTCCTCAGTTCAGTTGCAGTGAAGGTTAGGGCAGAATATATTTTCAAACTAAGAACTGCAACAACTGGTATTTTTAGCTAAATCTATAGAAAATTTTTCATCCAAGCATCTCTCCAGATGACAGTTTAACTGGTTAATTTTTATTTTGTAGCTTCCTTTTTTTTTTTTTTTTTTTTCTTTTTCCCCCTCTCCTCTTTGCAAGTAGAAATCAGACATTCAAGTCAAGGCAGCCAATTCCTTTCTGAAACTGATAAAACAAACAGCCCTCAACAGTGACTTCATTCATCTCAAGATAAGCACTTGAGATAGGTCAGAGGAAACATCTTCTACAAGTACCCATTGCTTTCCATTTACTGAACCAGAAATCCATGTGATCACTTCACACATATACATATAACTTTTAGATATACAAAGCCAAACGAGGTAATTCCTTCTCCCTGTTTAAGACTAATATTTTCCCATCATATATTTTGCCTGTTGTTATACAAGCAGTTGTGCCTACAGGTGTTTCAGTGCTTCAAAGGACAAGTTTTTTAAAAGTATAATTTAAATTTATTGCTACTGTTTGTAAAAATGATTTATGGTCATATAAAAATTTTGTTGTAAGAATTAAGATGTTATTAATAAATATTAGTGTCAGTGCCTAGCCTAGTTATATATTCTAGAAACATAGCAGCAGCTAGAGGATGCTATAACAATCTACAAAATGTGATTAGCAGTGTCTTAGAAATATTTTCATTACCTAATAACCCCTTATTTAAGGAACAGTCATAAAATGTGACTTTTTTCATTAAACACTCATTGAAAAAAATATACTTAGCTATTGAAAATTAGTAACAATGGTAGTGAAAATTCATGCTGATTCACCCAGAAGAGTGATTATGGATGTAGATATTTCCACCTTGGGGTCACTAGTGCAAATCCAGCCAGACCTGTAGAGACTTCAAACTGCTCCAGATTAAATGTTTATTTGTTTACCTAATGAATTATGAATCTTGGTTTTGTTCCTACTGAACAGATGTCTAAAAACCCCTCAAACCCAACACTACAAGAGGTAACAGCTGTCACTTTTGTTAGTGATTCCATAAGGAGATAAAGAAAACAGGACATATGTTTACATTGGACTGACTACTCCTCCCTTAAGGTGACACTATCACCCTGCTACAGGTCAAATGTGAAGTACAGCATGTTAACAAGTCTGTAAATCCTAGGCAAATAATTTGAAAATATTATTTCAGCCCTGAAATAACCCAGCTGGAGGATGAAGCCATTGAGAGCAGCCCTATGGAGAAGGACATGGGGGTGCTGGTGGATGAAAAGCTGGACATGAGCCAGCAATGTGGTCTCACAGCCCAGAGGCCAATAACCATGTCCTGGGCTGCACCCAGAGCAGCCTGGGCAGCAGGTTGAGGGAGGAGATTCTGCCCCTCTGCTCCGCTCTCCTCAGACCCCACCTGCAGTGCTGCCTCCAGTGTTGGGGTCCTGGGCACAAGAAAGATATGGACCTCTTGGAGCGTGTCTCATGTCCAGAGGAGGCCACAAAAATGATTAGAGGGCTGGAACACCTCTCCTATGAAGAAAGGCTGAGAGAGTTGGGGTTGTTCATCTTGGAGAAGAGAAGACTCAAGGGAGACCTTATTGTGCCCTTTCAATACTTAAAGGGGACCTATAAGAAAGACGGAGATAAAGTCCTGTTGAGATATGACAAAGAAGTGATAGTTTTAAATTAAAAGAGGGTAGATTTAGACTAGATATTAGAAAGAATTTTTTACAATGAGGGTGGTGAGACACTGGCAAAGGTTGCTGAGAAGTGGTAGAAGCCCCATCCCTGGATACATTTAAGGTCAGGTTGGAAGGGGCTGTGAGTAACCTGACTTAGTTGAAGATGTCCCTGCTCATTGCAGGGGAGTGGGACTAGATGACCCTTAAAGATTCCTTCCAATCCAATCTATTCTATGGTTTCTCAAGAGCCCTTCTAGCCTTAACTACTTCAGAAATAGCACCATGGAAAAGAAATTTCATAAGTGATAGGCAACGTATTTGTGTGAGATATAAACAAAAGCATCAAAGACATCCCTTGAAATAAAGAATAGTTAAAAGGTCCATGGCAGAGGTGTGTGGACAGGTTGGAAATGGGGGAGATTTCCTGTGCTGTAGATGTACATGACACCACACCATAGAATCAAACTAGCAATACCTCTGAGCATTCAATATAAAACATCAAAGTATTTTGCCTGCAGATTACAAGCATCACTGATAACTAGATAGCAAAAACCTCTGGCTGAGTGTATATCCTGTGCAAATGATGACCAAAATTGTTATGACAACGAGCCTGAATAACAAATAGTCAACAAATATTGATTACAAAGTCAAAATCAAACCCAAAAGAAGGAAGAATATTTCCTTATCCATGCTAGATACAAATGCTACTGGATGCTGACATGTTGGTTTTTATTATGATTGTGTGTGGATGGCTCAGTAAGTGCCACTGTAACCACTGAGTCAATACTGAAGCAATATTACAGCAGTAAATATTATGTTTAATTATACTGGCTATAATTAAAGCACATAGAATTACAGTAGTAATTATATTTTTA